TGGTATTACTCGTTGTTTTTTAAGTGTTATTAAAAACCGGGCTATTAGTGGATTATGGTCCGATGAGACATCTGCCCCTGGGTAGGTTTTAGGTATGTATACATATTTACAATTTAGTATACTGTTTCTTTAAAAAACTATATGTTACGTTTGTTTTTAGATTTAGGAAGAGACTTAAACTAAAAATAACTACCCACCAAGTATCTCCTGACTCTCCTGACGCAGAATATATCTTCTGTTCAAGCCTTTTTTCTATGGATAAAAGTGGAAAAAGCTGGATGAAATGCTAATGTTTGGACTCTGGGCACAATATGATTGTGCTGCGGAAGAGTTTGATATTTGGATCTGCGACTTTTGCATGTGAATTAAAACTAAGAAACTTCTTTCATTTATCACAATATGTTATTTTCATTTATTTGATCTCCTAGATATTTATGTCTATTTTTGTTATTGATATGATGATTTATGCTATATTCCATATATTTGTACCTATTCCATATTTCGTTACCCATTTGTGATTTTGGTTTTTGTGTTAGATTTTAATTCGACAACATATTTGATTAAAGGCTGTTAATTACTACATACATTCATTAGTAATTACATTAAACTGTTTTAATTTCTAGGAAATTTTCTTTATGTACTTGAAAAAATAGCATCCCATATTTGGTGACTTCCCTCTATAATCGCGAAAAAGAAAAGGTTGAAAAAAATACAGGAATGTGCTTTGTATGAACAAAGAAGAGCAATATCTCATATGAATTTGCCACGGCTTTGAAACTGTGCTTACTCCGACTGCGGTTAATATAAGAAACCGGGTTTTGAAAAGTCGATATGGCAAAAATTGCGTGAACTGGTTAAAGGAAAAAAAGCGGGGAAAACTCCGTTTCCGAAATCCCTTTTCTCCAAACTTGACTATAGTGAAATTCACAACGACGGAGAGTGGATGCCGCCTTGCTATACCTAGAGATGTGCCAACATGGTAGGAAGTTACAGAATGCAGTACAAATATTTTAGGGGCATATTTATCAGCTAACAATAAGTCTGTTGTTTACGGGGCTCTTCATACAAGACAAAGGAAAAAAAATTGAAAAATCGAAAAAAGATCTCATTTTTAAACATTTTTATATCATTAAAAGTTCGAAACCTCAGCAGCGTACCATGATTCCATCTAAAAAATTTAATTAGATCACCGTCATGGGCTAAACTGAAATATATAATTTTATGTTAATTAAAGAAAAGAAGATCAAATTATCGAAAAAGTTTTTGTATAATTAATTAAAAAAAAAATCTATAACCTTTGACACTCTGTTTCTCGTTTATATGAAAAAACTTATTTTTGACTGATAAATAGACCTTCAAAATCTATGTCCTGAGTCCCCAAACACCCTGTATACGTGTTGCCCGATGCATTTGTAAATTTATGGCGCGCGCCGCTGACACTTTTCGCGAGCGCAGAGCCAATTTCCCGCCCGGCAACGGACTAATAAAATTCCAATATTTGTTTTCCGACTGCATAATTCAATTTTCACGTGCCAAATATTTGACGTGGAAATTGTTACCTACGTAACACATATGCGAAAATTTCTCTCCCTTTTCTTTTTTTTTTTCATTATTTGCGGCACCGACTGCATTGCAGCGAAAACACGTACGCTCGGACGGTGTGCCGCAAAGTTAGTCGCGGGAGCAGGCGAAAGGAACGAAGGGAGTCTTTCCCGCATTCCAGCGACCACGCAGGAATGCGAGGGTGCCACCCTCGTCGATTTAACGGGGGGGCGGACGACATCCGTTGGGGGCTGCATAACGAGCTTTATTTGCCGACATTCGAAAAAGCAAATATATACGCGAAAGCTGAGGAACGGCAGCGTTTTTAATAAACGCAGGAATAACCGCAGGAAACGCGACGAACATAAGGGACAAATTGCCTAGAAATCCGTACCCGACATGAAGGAACTATAGCGAAACTTAAAAAAATCACAGTACCATTTTGATTCCTATATTTACATATAAACAGGACATTAAAACGCCTTATAAGAAAACCATAAAATATTTCCATTTACACTTTTTATAAAACTTTTAGATTCCTCCTACGTCGGTTTTTTGTTGAGTCGAACTAGTTAACGTTTCGCCAATCAACCTGTTGGCTTCTTCAGAGCTTGAGTGAAACTGGCTCGCATTTTACTCTGTACCTGCTTATAAATTCTTTGAGGGGGGCGGAGCTAAATCAGGGGCATAAACACCGTCTCGGATGAATGATTCCCATATTGGTGACTTGATAAAGACCTGAGTGGCGGTTAAGATTGTTAGGTTGTTTATAGATTTCTGTAGACTCTCGGATTTTCGTTGATAGAAAAATTGATTCGATGCAAGAATTTTACTTTTATCGAGTAAAATTTTATATCCCGTTTCGTGTTTGGGTTCGGCAACTGCTGATGAGTTTATTTGTCTTAGTCTCAATGCACTTTCATGTTCTTTGGACCCAGTTGATATTTTCCGTCAGGTCTCTGTAATTTATTCTTTGCCGCATATGCATGGAATGCTGTAAACCCCTGCCATCTCAAATGGAATTTTGTCTTTGACGGATCGAAGATGTTGAAAGATTTTTGGACAAGTGGTAAATCTAATTTTGACGTTTTATTTCTTTAGAACTTTTGATATGTGGTCAGTGATGTTTTGAATATAAGGAAGCGCAACAGTGGCCAATGTTTCGGTTTCATTGTAATTGGAAGGTTGTGGTGAAATGTATTTTGTGATGGAACGCTTAATATCTTTAATGTGGAAATTATTAGAGAGAAGAGCAGAGGTAAGGTGTTTTAATTTTGGGTTCAATGACTCTGGCTGATCCGTCTATAGAAATCTATAAGCAACCTAACAATCTTAATCGCGACTCAAGTCTCTCACTTGTCACCAATATAGGAATCAGTCATCTGAGACGGTGTTTATGCCTCTCATTTAGCTCAAATAATATATAAGCAGGTACAGAGTAAATTGCGAGCCAGTTTCTGTCAAGCACTGAAGAAGCCAACAGGACGATTGGCGAAACGTTAGGTAGTTCGACTCAACAAAAACCGACGCAGGAGGAATCCAGAAGTTATTTATAAAAAGTATAACAGTAGGCTGTGGAAGTTTCTTTGAAAAAAAAAATTCTTGTCTTAACAAGTTTTGACTCGTCATAAAGGTTGTTGTATTATTTTTAGTTTATTTAGCCCTAAGTGAGGCCCATGTTTCGTTGACAATGGCAATGTAAAACATTAGACAGTCTAGATACATTCAGGATTTTTAACATACCAGGTGTTCAAAACTTTTGTTCGGGAGCAAGGGGTAATCCCGAAGCATCGATAGGAAGTGGCAATGGCGAACAGTTGTTCGCCATTGCCATTGCGCATTCGACGTTTTGATGTACTTGGAACAAGCCTTTACGAAAGAGTTAAAAAGGGAAGATACTACAAGCCAAAGAGGGGGGTTCGTCTCTGAAGAACAAGAGCAGTTGACCATTTGTTATGTTTGTTATGTTTTACATCAATTCAACTGACACGTCCAGAACTCAGCTTTAGAAAACCAGAAGCGAGTAGTATTAATAGAATTCAGCAGATTTTTAAAAAAATCTTCAGGACTTGATGGTCAGATGTAAGTTTTCTCCAATCACTACCGTTACTGCGAATCATTGCGAAAAAAAAGAGCAAAATCGAATCGGAGCTATAACTAGTGGGAAAAAGGAAAAAATATTACGGTGTGTTGTGTTGAATGAGGATAGCACCGTCTTTGGAACGAAGTGGCCTACCAGGTTCTATTTACACATGTAATAAGAGCGGTTGGATGAAGGAAGATGTATTTTTTATTTGGTTGAAACATTTTTCCAAAACAAATAACACTACAAAAGACAATCCTGTTATTTTGATTCTCGACAATTATACAAGTCCCATATCATTACAAATCTTCGAATTTTGTAAGGATAATGGAATTCATATGTTGTCAATACCTCCACACACGTCCCATCCTATTCAGCCACTGGACTTGGCTTTTAATTCCTCCCTTAAGAAAGCTTACGTTAAGGAATGTTATTTTTAAAATCAAGACCATATGAAACGATTTTGATGTTAATGGTATATTTTGTTGATATATACCATATACCAAAGCCTATACCCTAGCCATATATCGAAGCGTACTGCAGAAAAAGCCATAAAGGGTTTTGAAAAGACTGGGATTTTTCCTATTAATCCTGATGTATTTCGTAAGGAGGACTTTTGTTTCCCTGAATTCAGCTGAACCAATCACAGAAGAACCGATAGCTTCGAGTAGTGAATCCGGTGGCAATAATATTTATAATAACTCATTTAATGAAATTATACCTTAGTCAAAAAAGGCCCCTGACAACCCAAACAAATCAGAAATTCTTACGTCTACGCCTTTCAAATCGGTATTGGAAAAGAAACAAAAGAAAAAGATGATAAAAGAAATGATTTGATAAAGACACCGTGTTGTCGAAACAATTGTCATGTCAAAATATATAATTTCGTGAAAATCTGAACTTTTAGTTCTTATTTATTTTGAACAATTAAGTAAAATTATTAATAGACATACAGGGTGTTAAATTAAAAAACACAAGTTTAGTAGTTTCTGTTTCATTTCATTGAAAGGTAACCTTGGGTCATGAAAAGGCGCAACACGCTAGCATTATTAATAAGGGAAATACGCCGTAAAATCATCAAACATGACCGATTTTTTAAAAATCGATCCGTACGATAATCAGGCATGTGTCCGGATTACTAAAGTTATACTGTACTTACATTACGATGCAGATAGAACACGTGTCGGCAATAGAAGCCGTCCTCAGCGATGTGCAATACAACAAATGAACTTGGAGCGGTACTTATAATATTTACTTAGCAACTAACCAGGATATAGCTTTAAAAAATCCAATCAACATCGCAAAGGAAATGAAAAACATTTCAAAATTTTGATGTACCAAAAAAAAACGCACAAAAAACAACGATTATCCATACCTACTTCCCGTCATGAAGATGCGGAAGATGATGACGTTGCGGTATTGTGGGGCTCGGGAGCTTGCTGAAATCAAAGCAAAATCGTTAATTCTGAAGCAGAATGGCAAAAATGAAGCTAATTTAATATAACAAAAATACCGCTAGTAATGGAGAACCTTGTCCTTCTTTCGTTCCATTAGTGATTCGCTTTGAAAACTCTGCGACAAACAAGCGTAAAAATTGATGCTTAGAATGTTTGAATACTTTTCCTTTTTTGAAAATTGCAAAATACACACACACACTTGGCTAAATATGTAAATCTAATCATAATTTTTTATTTTTGAAAACGGACCAAGTTTTAAATTTGTAAATAATACACACCAAATTGATTATCATGTCGTATAAATAATAAAATCTAATAAAAAAAAGTAAGTTTTGATTATTACATGAAAATACTTTGGTTTTATATTTGATTTATAATTATAACTCGCTGAGTTATTATTTATTTACAAATAAGCTTTTTTAACACTAGCATGAAATTATGAGTAGGTATCCTACATACACCAGATTATCACCGTCAAAAATAGTGAAAATATATAGCAACCACTTATTTTAAAGGATACAACATTGAAATGATTCCACAACGCATACCCTTTAGCAAACGATTTGCCGTCAAAACCACATGTTATCATTAGTATCGACGTGTACGATAAAGAAAATAATCCCTGTTACTCCCCTTCACTCCCTATATAAAATTTGCCAAGCAAAATCGGCCGTCACAGGTTAGTCTTAACTTAAAAAACGAATATACCCCAGAATATTATACATATTCCTCGCCTTATTTCAATAGAAGTTGCGAGCTAGACGCATTTACTAAACGTATGTTGCTATGTCTAGACCCGGTTGCGTATTTAAAAAAAAAACGCGCATAACCCAAGCACGTGCAAAGTGCCTTAATTAAGCTCGCATATTAATTGCCGCATACCTGACGCCAATTTCACGAGCAAAACGTGAAAACTCACGCCGCCGAATCGCGGAACCCAGAGATATGCGCGTCTATTTCGTCCCGATTTCGGCGCAATCGGTAGGATCCGCACAGGTGGAGTTCCTAAGCGTCACACGGGTCGAATATCTTCGACTAGGTTGCCGCGCGAATTTTATGTTTTCAGAGGCAAAATTGGCCCCCGATACTTTTATTGCCAGCCATAAAATCTCGAATCGGATCTCAAAACGTTAACTATATGCCGTAGTATTAACTGTATTTTTATTACCGCCTATAATGGTGGCTTCGTTTTATTTTTCCCGGATACATGCCGATAATTTATTCGGTTAGCAGCATAATTTACTTCTGCATTTCAAGATTCTGTTAAATTTCTTTAAACTGTGTAGGAGTAGATGTTGGATATTCACAATTTTTGAAATATATGTATATAAGCTCCGTAGGCCATCCTCTTTTCCAGGCCTCCATATCCGTCCAATGTTGTTCTTCCATTCATTTTCTCTCTATATCCTTCTGAACTTATCTTATTCATTTCTCTGGAGGTCTTTCCCTTTTTTCTCTATGTGGCAGTTGCCAATTTAAAATCTTTTTTTCCGCTTAAGTCATAGCGTTGTTTCTACATTCATTCTTCGTTTTATTTCGTTTCAACTTCTAACAAAATCCATTTCTGTCGCTTATAATATGTATCTATCACGTAACATATTTGTTTTTTACTTGAGCCCTCCTTTGATCTTCGATCCACTGACAGATATTTGCTTCTACTATATATTTTTTAAACCGACCTCACTATATGCCTCAGATATTTTTCCATATCATATAGTATCGATGTTATATGAGTTATTCGCAATGAACAAGACATATTTAATATGTCAATCTTTTTATATCTCATGTTTTAAAAAGTGCCGGGAGATAAACAGCAGTTTCACCGGAGTCCTAGATAGTCTGCCGCCTTGATACTTTCAATATACAGTAGAGCTTCGCTAATTCGAACTCCACTAATCCAGACAAAATTTATTTACATTATATGTAGATCATGCGGTCTTCGATAATTTCATGTAACTTTTATGGTGTTGTTTAGGTGAATCCCCTAATTATTAAAAAGTCGCAAAAGATAAAACAAAACTTTATCACTAGCAGAAAAATGTGATATTTTGGAAAAATTAAAAAATGGTATTACTGGCAAGGTATTGGCTATAAAATATGGAGTCGACTATTTCGGATATAAAACAGAAATCTGGGCAAATAAAGAGATGTGTATTTTGTATAGCTAGGATGAATTTTTAAGTATGTAATGTAAATTTTGTTTGGAGAGTTTTGAAATGACAGAAACTAAACATTTTTTGTTTTATTTTTTGACATTTTGGGTACAAACTGTAAACTCTTCGGCGATAAAATTCCTCTATACTAATGTTATCGTATTGTTTCAGCTACATCGGAAATTGATTTTCTTCACCGTGCCGTAAAAAAAATCTGCGAAAAGGAGAATATCTCCAAATGGAAACTGAGTTATACGGGTGGTTTATTAAGCAGCGGGAAAAATATGCAACCATTACATCCTATATTTTAAGAGAAAAGACTTTGTGCAAAATGTTACGGTGATAACAATTTTATCGCAAGTAGAGGTTGGGTAACCAAATTTAAAAAGAGACGAGTTATTCGTAACCTCAAAGTTATTGGGGAAAAATTATCTAGAGACCCAAGTATTGTTAAGCCTTTTCATTAGAAATTAACCAACAAAATTAGGGAGATGCAGGTGGAACCAAATCAACTTTACAACGCAGCACTGTTCTGGAAAATGTTGCCAGATCGTACTTTGGTATATCATAAAGAGAATTCGGCGCCTGGGCGCAAAGTGTCTAACGAAAGAATAACTTTCGTTCCGTTTCGTTAGGAATTGAATATAGCGTGGATGACTTTAACTTTATTTGTCAAATGGTTTCACGAATCTTCGGTTCTACGAGTAAAAACGTTTCAGAAAGATAATAATATAAGCGGCAATGCACTTTTACTGATTGATAATGCTCGAAGTCATTCAACAGAAGATCGGTGATGATGGAAATATCGTAGCTATGCTCCTTCCGCCTAATGTCACGCCCTTAATCCGACGGATGGATCAAAATGGAATCCGCCGCATTAAAATGTTCATGTTTTGATTTTTGAAGAAACTGATAGTTCCAGCACACTAAAAAACACGAATTTAAGAGATGTCGTATTTCTGCTGGCCAGTTCATGGGATAAATTAAGTCCTGATGCAATTCAGAGTTGTTGGAAAAAAATATTTTTTCATCCAGATCTTGATGAGTCAAACTTTGGTTGGGAGCCTGAAGATTGGATCTGAAACCGCCAGTAATGAATAAAGAGAATTGTTACTACTGAAAGTAATAATTTGCAAGAAACAGAGATCAACGAGTGGAACCGCTGTACAGTGAAGAGGGTGACGAGGAAGGTGTTAGATTTGATCTAAAAATTAAACATGAGGAAGCTATTCGTCGCTTTGGCACATGTATACAGTGGGCAGAAGAAAATGGTGCTGAACTGAATGTTTTGTCCATCTTACGAACCATGAGAGAACGCGCAATGCAAGCAAGACAATCCAATATAAAACAAACACAACTTACAGATTTTTTTAAATCTTAGTTTCGTAAGTCCTAATTGTTAGTCTTATTAAAATTTGCCGATATCCGCATCAGCACGTTACATTTTCTGTTCTACATCGGTAAGTGTAAGAACTGCGTGTGGGTGTCCTTTTTCTTTTATTTTTTAGGTGTTAGTAAATATTTACAATTTTATGTTAATAAATGCTATAACAATGTGAGATTCCAATAATCGGGATGTTTCACTAATCCGGATTGCATATTTTATTAGTCTGGATTACCTTATACCTACAGTATCTGACTCTGGTCTAAAATATCAAATAGCTTTTGCAAAATGTTTATTGATTCCGCGCTAGCCTTTTTTTATAGTCTGCTAAATAGTAAAGATGTTTTCGACACAAGATTGTCCGGCTGTGAAACCGCAACTATAAGTGTTATTACAAGTACTCTCTTTACAACTACTGTCATAAACTCGCCTGATTTTTCGCAGCCATTTATAACAAAAAAAAAATGCGCAAAAGCTCGAAGAGAACAGAACATTCGAAAACCATGCCGGGATTAAAAACTCGATAATGGTTCTCTCGGAAATGAAATGTAAAAAAATTATGAAACAACATTCAATCTTAACTTTTGCAGTAAAATAAACCAATTTCTATAAATCACTCAGTAGTCTAGACGATAAAAAATAAATTTGTGATTTTTGACAAGCTTTGAATAAACAGGGGCTAGCAACCGCGACAGTGGCGTGCCCCACCGTATTTCATTCGCGTTAATTCGTTTGTTTAACTGCCGCTTTTCCGATGCCTAACGACGGCGTTATATTTACGGAGTCGTAATCGACGCGTCGCGACGGCATTAAACGGCGCTTTCGGCTACTTATTAACGCCCCCTCCGAGAAACGCGTTCCTTCGCCCCCATACCGATTCGGGTTTAATCTAAAGTGACAGTAAGGGGCAGGGATTGAAACTGTCTCTCGATTTATCACGCTCGGAGCTCGTCGCGATACCGCTAGGTTCAACTACAGACGCAATATCTCCCATAAGTTTCAAAAATATTCCGAACATTTTTTAGGTTACAGAGTCTTCGGAACTAACCAAACGTTATTTCTTACAAAAATTGAACTGAGCAGGCTTTTACTTGATGAAAATCCATTTATCAAAATAAATAAGAACTAAAAGTTCAGATTTTCACGAAATTATATATTTTGACGTGACAATTGTTTCGACAACACCGTGTCTTTATCAAATGTTTTTTGATAAAGAAAACGGTGTTGTCGAAACAATTGTCATGTCAAAATATATAATTTCGCGAAAATCTGAACTTTTAGCTCTTATTTATTTTGTTATTTCTTACTATTCTACTTAATCTACCAATTAGCGAAACATTCAGTGTATGTAATAATTAGGTACTTATCTTAATCTACCGTCTCTATACATTCTAATAACCTCGGTAAGTACTAATTATATAGAAGGCACGACCAAGAAGTAAAATAGAAAATATATTCAATGCATTATTGTCCTGCAGTAGTACTTTTAAAAATATTATGAAAATTCGCCCAAAAATCAATTAAAATGACATAGAACCACTTTGTTTGCATCAGCTAAACACCAAAGGGCTAGATTTTATTCAAATTGAAATTAAATAAGAGAAATATTCAACTATGAACATCGAATATGAAACGATTAAAAAAAAAATGGCACCGCCAGCAAGTTTCTTACAGGTCTTTAGACAAGACTAGGCTGTTACTTCATCTATATTCTAGGCAAAAGCCGACGCCTGATCCTTTGCCAATTGGTAACTTCAAATATTAACATTTTTATTAAATGTGTCACTTTTTCTTTCTTTATTTCAGCTTTTTTTTTACTGTCACAACATCTTTTTTTTTAATTAGTTCATTTGCTTGATTAACTTTGCCTACTGTTTATTACTCCAAAACCTCAGCCCCTTATAGCGGACTCTTACCCGTAACCATGCCAGGACCGTCCTAGGAATTTATCAACCTACACTAACAAGCGGAATATAATTATGTTTTCCATCTTTTTCGGCGAGCAATTCTTGAAACATGTGCATAAAAAAAATAGTACAAAGTGACAATTTATTACGTTCTATTTCATTACGTTTCTACATAATGTCACTATTAATATCCAAAATATTAAATATATGCAGTTCTTTTAGGGTTAAAACATTATTCATTTTATAAGCGTTGTAGATTATACGCCTAATTAGATCTGCGTGTTGGTCTTTAAAAACTCGTGAAGTACTAGCATCTTCATGTCACTTGTTTTTATTGCTGCTCCTACTTCCCCTTCTGAATTTCTTATAAAATTGTAAACATTCAAAACAATTTGTTTAGCATCCGAAGATAAATGGATCCGTTTTTTTATTTGCTCAAAAAAAGGATGTTATTGTTTACAAATTGAAGAACTATATAGAAGATACAAAAAGGCAAGAAGAAGAATGGACAGGCACACAAGACATAAATTATTATTTTCAAACTTATCTGTAAGATCAATAGGGTTCAGATACTTACCCTTATACTTTGAACGCTCCAGTGAAACCAGCCTCGCACAGTCAAAGATCGAGAATCAGGTACATAAATACGTACTTACTGAAAGGATCACGGTCAAATACCTACGTAATATATACGAACATATTGCAATTTAATTTAGTTTCTAGAAATATTCGTTACGGTCCATCTCAGAAAAGACCTAATGCACAATAAACATCTGTTGGGAAGGATTTTATCACGGTCCTGCGAAGGTCTGCGGTTAATAAAATACTTAAAACATCACAGCAATGCAAATGCACTATATTTTTGGTCTATATACCTGTCTGTATTTAGAATGACATTTTACAAGGAATACAAATCACTTTGATAAATGTTACAATCGGTTCGTTTTGATTTTAAAACAAAACGTGACATTTTGATTTTTCCTTAATTAGCGGGGACTTAATGTTTAAATAATCGAATTCTTATCGATTGCTGGCTACGATGCGACCTGAGTTAACCTCGCCGCGAACCGCCCTGTATATTTTTTCGTGGGTTGCTATTTTCACGCTTTCCTTCTCATCCGAGAAGTGACGTCACGATCATACCGCTAGCATACGTCCATCCCCTCCACCGGTCTATAGCAGCCGTATTTTAATGGTGAAAAATTAATATGCCACTCGCTTTCTGTATACAACCGGCTTATTTTTTTTTCCTCTCAGACAATGCTTCCTTGTTCCACATACCGGGGAGACTTAATCACCACGCCGCATAGAAAGTTGTTTACGGCACTAATTAATTTTGTTATTAATTTCATATAAATCACAATTATTGTTCTCGACTATACTTATATATCGGCAGCGAGAATAAAATGGCAAAGTACGGGGTACGATCAATATATATTAATGCTGTGCAAAACCTGTAGTTTCGGAATGGGTACATAATGTTAATCCTCCCGACTTTAAGCCGTAAATTACGGCGTATTTAATAACTTAAGCCTTCCGAGAATTTTAGAATAAAAATTAGGGGCAATTAAGAAATTACAAAACAATAAAAGTGAAACAGCCACAATTAACTACAGCCTACGTCACAATATCCGCAACGGGTACCTGGATGATATCCTCGACAGCATTTGACATTAAGAGAGCTTTACAGTGTCATCTGTTTTGAAATTTTTGAAACTGTTGGTCGATGTTTGGCAACCCATCTTGCCGTAACATTTACATATACCCGGGTAATGCAGGCTCGCTAATTATTTAATCGCTATCGATTTTAATCGAAATATTTTAAATTCGAATTCAAGACAATCCCGGTAATCCGCACGCGAGCTACATTAAGGTCTTTATTATTTAAAGATAGCGGCATTAAACCCGCAGAGCGACACCCCAATAAAGGGGGGAGAATTTAGAGCACAACAATAATGCATGAAAAGTATACTCGATTTGAATATCGTATCGTGTACGCGGCCCACGCGCTTATCTCGTTCCGAGAACCAATTAAAAACAACGCCGAAAACAATTTCGAGCGATCGTTCGCTCTCGATACATACTTTCTCCTTTTTGGCGACATGTCATCGAAATTAACATAACGATTTGTTTAATTGAAAAAAATCTGCCCAAATCGGAGCCGATTCTAAACAATGACATAAAAATACTGACCCTGTTTTTCGCGAATCCAGACAGAGACACGTCGTAGTTTTGGCACTTTACAATAGCCCCGCCAGTGGTGTTCCGAGTCCGCAAGAATCAAAGTCTTTTCCATACATGACACTACCACAAATTCATCAATATAAACACAAACACTGCACGGGAGCGAGTGCGACGGCCATTTTGCTTCGTGTGAAACTGAAAGCGGAGACAACAGAGCTACGCAGCCGAGACGAAATTTCCCTACCACAGTTGAACGTAGAGTGACGTAGAGACACGGAACACCGCGCTTTGCAACACGCCAAATTGAATTTCACCAGAATCACAATTACAACCGTTTTTTGACTTACCCTACTTTGGAGCGTTGTTATTACCCGATGGATATGATGCAAATTAAAAAATAAATCGTAAATTCGACCGAAAGCATTTTATTAACAATATGCTTTGCAACCATCTAGAGACACAGAATACAAGTTTTCATGTTGGCAACGATAAGGCAAATGTCAAACGTTTCAGTCAGCTGTCGATTGATAAACTGGCCATTTGTTGCATAACCAATTTTCGTCTGAATTTACGCTCGGTTTTTGAGTATTGCAGGTGAAAATGGCTGCGAGAAGAATCGCCCAAAGTTCCGTCAACTGGAGTGCCATTGCCGAGCGGGTTCCGGAAAATCAACGTCCAGTTTACCTGGCGTTCAAGTCCAAATCCGATCAGTACCTCAGAAGGTAACTGTGTTCCCTCTATGCGGTACCACGCTAACATTTATTTCTAGGGTGATGCAGTACCCCGAAAAGGCTCCGACCATAGACTGGTCGTATTACAAGCAGCGGGTGCCTATAGCTGGTATGGTTGATGACTTTGAGAAGCAGTACTCTGCTTTGACCATTCCATATCCGCGCGATACAGTTAGCTCTCAAATTGACGCCCAGGAGAAGGAAATTAAGGCGGACATTGAGAAATTCAAAAAGGAATCTAATGCTAGGATTGAGGAGTGAGTGAGGTTCTTGGTATTAGCCTGACAATTAATTAAATTTCATTTTTTTTACTAGATATAAGAAACAGCTGGCACATTTGGCAAGTTTGATTCCATTCGATCAGATGACACTGGAAGACTTCCGCGAGGCATATGCTGATGCGTCTCTTGACGCAATCAATAGGCCTACACTGTGGCCGCATGATCCTGAAACTCAGCCTGACTATTTCGAAAAGGAAGCACTTTTAGAAGAAAAGCACTAAACGCTTGCAAGTTACTAAATTAGAGCTGGAATTTAGATGATTAATATGTGTAATGTAAATTATAAATTTTGAGTTCTTTATTTCTAAACCAAAACTGCCCTAGGGGCAAAATATTAAAATACTTCAAAGTAGTAGATCATTAGCCTTTTGGATATTTTTGGTCGATATCATTTCCTGTCAAATGTTATATCGCAACATTTGGTAGTCTCTTGCTTTCGGCAATTTTCATGAAACGTAAAAAAATCAATAACGTTATAAATATTTCACACAAAATGTGTTTTTTGTTCATTGTCTAAAACGCAAGTTAACGGCACGTGGCGCCATCGCGTGGCCATTTTCCGCTTTATAATTTAAATTAGAAGTTTAAATGCAGAAAACTGCTTTTTACTTACCTTTCGACACTGAAAAACAGGGAGAACGGCAACTATAGACATTTAGGAGAGGGAAAGCATCGTCTTTTCTCTAGGAGAGGTCACTGACGCGAGTAAAATTGCTTGATCATTGGTTTGACAGAAATCCCGGCGCATTCGCCGGTTATGGGAAAATATAAGCTCCTTCGAAATATGAAAACTGTGGCACAAAAGCTAGTTAAAGTCTCATGACGCAATAGCAAAACATACAAAAAAGTGTGCTTTGGAAATAGGTGAAACGGCAAGATAAGGACAAAGAAAATTGTAAACAAAAAGTGCAGTGTAAGAACCTGCGAAGGAAGAAAATCCTCGCATTTTCGCGCTAGGAGGTCATTAAGGCAAGTCGCAACCTTGGCTTCAAAAGGGACGAAAAAGCTAGATAAAGTTTCATGACGCCATCGCGTGGCGCTACTCTCGTTTTCATAATTTAAAAAGTATAAAAAGAGTGTACTTACTTACCTTTGAATATTGAAAATAGGGAGAATGGCAGGAATAGGGCAAAGAAACTTGTAAATAAAAGCTAAATGAAAGTTAATTTTGTTGATACTGGCATATTTGCTATAACAGTAAAGACCTGTGAAGGAAGAAAAGACTCGCATTTTCGCCCTAGGAGGTCATTAAGCCAATTCGCATTTTTATTTTCAAAAGGGACAGTGACCCCGGCGCATTCGCCTGTAATAAGAAAAAGCGAGTAGAAGATGATTCAATTACTGGGTGATTATTATAAAGTCCAGCTCTTTAATATAGAGGGATATACAATAAATCTTGTTTGAAGTAGGAAAATAAAAGTCAGTTTTCGTTATGTATAAACAAAATAAAGCTTTTTGCTTATCAAATACTGATATTATAGCACCATTCAATAAACAGGAGGTGCTACCTAAAACATAAATTTCCATAAATTAAATATTATGAACCATGTTAATGTACTTGCCAGTGTCTACAAAATTTGTAGAGATTTGGAAGTTTCAACTAAAACAAAAAAAAAAATTTCCAAATTTCCTGGCTATAAAACGTAACACCGTAAAAATGGCATTATCTTACTGTTAACGCGATCATTTGGCAACATAGTAAATTGTATGAAGTTGAATCCCGATCGGTATCTCGCGACCTATCGGGCGTTCGACAGTCTCAAGACGAACACCACGTCGTCCAGCCAATAATAAGACTGGTGGAGGTCGCCTTCGCAGAGATATGGCACCCTGGACCAGGCGGTGACGTCGAAGCCAGCAGGTTTAAGCACCTCCTCTACCACGCTGATGACTTGGTCTTCGAAACGCTCGCCATCTATCGGTAGTAACTCGCGTGGCTTGTGGTCAGGCGCCCCTGAAAAACGACGGCTACAACCTAACTTATAAAACCGGAACGAGTAGTTACCGGATTCGACGTAGGCCGAGAACGGCAGCACCACCGCGAGCAAGAGGAACCCGTCCGACTTGAGGGATTCCCGGATTCTGCTCAAGAGTTGCAGAGGCGTGTCGCAACGGTCAATCACGTTCAAACAGGCCACGAAATCGAACTTGCGGTCCAGAAACCACGCGTCGACGTCTAAAACTCTAATCAGAAGATGGATTTAACAATTTTTGCTAACATGTTTTAAGAATTTTTCAGGGATATCCGGTAATGGTCGAGCGTCCTCGGCTAACGCACCCGACAGACTTGAAAGAAAAGAAGAAGATTGCGTCGTCATTACCTGCTAATTTGTATTGTTTTTATTCGAGTTTACGTTATTTGGTACGTGTTATGATAGTGTTTTGTACGCTTCTAGCAGTGATAAATGTAGATGCGTTAAGTTTAAAGTTTCAGGGACACTTTTAAATCCACGTTTACTTACTGCTACTGTTACTAAAACTATAGTTAATAAAATACGGACTTACCGATAACCTTTCTGGTCAAGCAGAGATCTCATCGTGTCCGACACCTCGGTAACGTAGACGTTTCGGAATAGGGGCGCTAGCCGGGCAGTCACTTCGCCGTCGCCGGCCCCCAGATCCAGCAGAGAGTCCGCTCGCCATTCGTCGTCGGCGTGGAGGAGTTTTAGCAGCTGCGGCTGCGACAAGACGAACATGGACCCGCGTCGGAGCCAGCTGCGACGAAAACGACTGTATAGAAACGGCGCAATTGGGTAGGATCGTAAAACCGACGACGGCCGGGAGACGCGCCCGCGATCGTCGAAAGTTTTCACGCCTCCCCGCGAGATCGCCTCTAATATCAATAATTTAATTTTTTTCCATCCGGATAATAATTGTTCGTCGGCCGTAGACGCGGTTCGGGCAAATAAAATTGTAAAAATGGCGATAATGGCATTCCGCTGCGTGGTAAACTCCGAGAGCCGTCGGCCATAAAAATAGTTCAGCGCGTGAAGGAATCTCCTCGAGATGGCGGCCCACTATGCTATTCCGCGGCCGTCGTCTCTAAGAAAATTTAATTTTTCTATAGTCTGGACGATGCGCTTTTTGGGCTTTTGTTTGTAATGGTTTTTTTTTGTCTTATTAAATCAGTTTTAACTTCAATTTCCAATCTTATGGAAATTGGACGTATGTAATTATATTGATGATATTCCTATTTTATGGGAATTTACTTATGTTCTTGAAAGATACGTTCGCTGTATTATGGGAATTTCTATTTTTGTCGTAATTTCTCCTTACTAAATATATATACACATACATGAGACGTTTTAAATTTTACTTTGGTATCGCATAGGAAGGATTATAATATATCATTTTTCAAAAAACTGAATTGCTTTTATGCGAATTTAAATAAATGGGTGAAATATTTCCTGTAAACGTCACATAATCATAAGTACTTTAATGTTCCCACATTAGGTTAGGATTCATATTAATTTCTTATGGTTGACATGTTTTTAATTTGTAATTAGAAAAAGTTATACCTGACTATGGGAATTCTTATATAAATAAGAAACTATTTGTAGTAATTTTTTGACAAATTTTATCAGTTTATAACTTACAGAAAAAAATTATACTCAACTATGGGAATTCTTATACACAAGAATATAATCGTCCATGAGAATTGTAATAAATGCGTGAAATATTTCCTGTAAACGTCATATAATTATAAACTACGCTAATGTGGGAATTGTTTTAATGTTTATAATTGTACTGCACCTATACAATAATTATGTTGATTTCATGCCCATCTCAGGTTAGCATTCATATTAATTTCTTACTGACATGTTTTTAATTTGTAATTTTTAGAAAAAGTTATATCTAAATATGGGAATTCTTATATAAATAAGAAAATATTTGTAGTAATTTTTCGACAAATTTTATCAGTTTATAACTTACAGAAAAAAATTATACTCAACTATGGGAATTCTTATACACAAGGAAATAATCGTCCATGAGAATTTTAATAAATGAGTGAACTATTTCCTGTAAACGTCATATAATTATAAAGTACGCTAATGTGAGAATTGTTTTATGTTTATAATTGCATTCATACCCATCTGAGGTTAGTATTCACATTAATTTCTTAAGGTTGACATGTTCTTAATTTGTAATTTTTAGAAAAAGTTGCACCTAACTATGGGAGTTCTTATACAAATCAGGAAATATTTGTAGTTGTATTTCGAGAAATTTTATCAGTTTACAACTTACAGAAAAAAATTATGCTCAACTATGGGAATTCTTATACACAAAGGAAATAATTATACATGTGAATGAGTGAAATATTTCCTGTAAACGTCATATAATTATAAAGTACGTTACAAATGCACTGCGGCTGTTCAATAATTATATTGATCTTATGTGAGATTTTATGAGGGAGGTATTCCCATTAACTTCTTATAATTGAAATGTTTTCAATTTTTCGGAGAACTATGGTAATTTTTATACATTAAGGAAATATTCGTTTGTCATTCATCGGCATTTGGCAGATATAGTTAAGTTTTTATATCTGAAGACAATATAAATATAATTATTCGAAGTAAATCGCAAGTCCGTATAGTTTTAGTGAACCGCGACGTTTCTCCGGTTCCCGAAGCCTCAGGTATAAATTTTTTTCCGACCAAAATCGTATCGCCGCGTAACGGCCTACGTATTTACTAGTCGAATTACGCGAACAACGAGAGGACGCGGTCTAAAACTCCTCGCGGGAAAAAGCAATTTTTCCTCTAAACCGGGCGATTTACGATTTCGCCTCCGCCGCCGCCGCCGCCACCGCCTCCCGATAATAATAAGAATAATAAGAACGCCCCGGAATGATCATAAACAAAGATCGATTCTTATACCTGAGAGAAAGAGAGGGCCTTGAGCGCGCGAGAAGCACGCGAATAAAAATCCGGCCGGATTATTGGCCTTTAGCTAAAGCAATCTCTCATTCTAACCCGGCAATTGGAAATTGATCAGCAATTTTCCAATTATAATGGATTCTTCGGTCGGCGCGCTCGGGGCCCGACTGCTTCGCTTACCGCCCCCGGTAAAACGAAAACCGACTTTCGACCGCCGCCCCTGCTCCTTAAAAAGGCAAGGGAATGATAAAACGAGGTCCATTATAACAATAATAAACTAAGGTCCATAATTTGGAGGGAGTAAAAGTGATGCCGGCCGTTTTATTTATTTATTCCGCAAATTAAAGCAAAAGTTAAAACATCAATTGAATACAGGGTGTTTTGAAAAAGTGCGCTTTTTCTTGTATCAGCTTCTCCTTTGGATGGCTGCCTTCACTTCTGATAGTAATCATCTAAATAATTCATTTGACGATAGACCACACCATTCTCGAAGATTGCGCAACCAAGAGATTCTTCGTCTACCTACAATTTTGTCCTAACCTTTTAGTCTTGTTGATGTTGGGACAAATAGGATGTTGGAAATAACATTAGGTTGTTTAATAAGTGTCTGGACCAAAATGTCAAACGGTATTTCAAATTTTACAGTAGAGTAATTTTAAAATGCGCAAATTATCTACGTTGCTTAAATTGCTGGTTAATGTAAAATGTAAGTTTTTCTTTATTTAGAGTTAATAATGATTAGCCCTTACAATGGGCTTAATACAGTAAACTTCTTTTATAACGAACGTACTTCCGGGTATTACGTGCATATTTTACTGATCCGGCCAAAATACTCTTGATTTTTCATCGTACTATCGTACGTACCACATATAACTTTTTTTCTGAAACGTGCGTGTCCGACCGACAGTTTCCCCTCTAGTGTGAAATGGCGTATCGGCGCAAGTCTTTAACTGTAAAAGAAAAAAACAGCGACTATCAGAAATCTTGAGAGTGGTGTCGGTAAGGCGGAAACTGCTAGACAAAAACAACAATATCTAAAATTTGGAAAGATCAAGAATGAAAGTGTCTGAAAATTGCACAGGATTAAAAAAAATAGAATCCTGTACGTTCAGATGTGCTCTTTTACGATGGTTTCAAGTTCGAAGATCCGAAAATATTACAATAAATGGTCATGGATTACAGGGTGAGGATTTTAGTTGTCCTACAGGTTCGCTAAAACGTTTAAAAAGACCGTCACAAAATAAACGTCAGAAGAATTTCTGGTGAAGCAGGAGATGTAAACATACAAGGCATGCTGAATTGGTTAGATGATAAGTGGCCCAGTATTGCACAAAATTACAGCTCCGAGGATATTTTCAATGGTGACGAGACTGGGCTACTTTACAAGATGACTCCAGATCGTACTCTTAAATTTAGAGGAGAAAAGTGTTTGGGTGCGAAAAATGCGACGTTCTTGTTATTGGTAAATATGAATGACCGAGATGCATGAAAAATATGAAAAACCGACCTGTCATTTATAAGTCAAACCGGCGAGCGTGGATGGCTTCAGCAATTTTTATAATTATTTAAAGGATTGAGATGAAAAACTAAAACGTCAGAATAGAAAAATATTGCTTCTGGTTGACAATTGTGCAGCTCATCCAAAAAATCTAATCCTTTCAAATATCAGATTAGAGTTTTGGCCTCCAAATAGCACCTCAGCCGTCCAACCAAATGGATCAGGGCATAATAAAATGCTTTAAGACATATTACCGAGGATATTTTTTGTATCGTTTGATCCAGTCATTTGAATGTTTGAATGATGTTACTTCAACCACTATTTCAAACTGCTTTCGACATGCGGATCTGATAAAATCGGAAGATGAGTTCCAGAAGTACAAAAATAATGACGACGAGATCTAACCAACATTGAAGCTGGATAGCTTCCCAACTGTTGATGATAATTTAATAACAATGGCGTTATTAACGGATAATGATATTATTACTGAAGTTTTACAGCCAAATGATCCTCAAAGCTCTGGCAACGAAAGCGACGATGATGTTCAACAGGACGAAGTACCAAGTTATTCTGAAGCGCTTTGTGCCGCTAAAATTGTTACACATTTTTTGCAATCTACTGATAATGTAACTTGAAGGTTGAGAAGCACATCGAGATTATGAAATTTGTATTGAAAAAAAAAAAAAATAACCAAATTTTTTACTCAAAAAGAATAAAGTATATATTTTTACTCGGAAAGTTTATATAGATGGATAAGTTTTTAGTTTAGGTAGTTTACTTTTTTTCGTACCTATATTAGAGTTTATTAGTTTTCTATTTTTATGTAAAAAATATATACGTACCTGTTTTTTTTTTGTAGCGAACTTCCGCTTATAGCGTACTGACTTGATACGGTATTTTGGGATTCAATTCTGTTGATTCTAGAAGGACGACGCGAATTTGGTAATTTCAGAAGAATCAAAAAGGGTTTCTTCTTTTTCTTTTTTTTTTAAATTTGAAATGATTTTGCGAAAAATAACTTTTAACTAACACCCAGCAAAAAACCGTAACCACTTAATATCTAAACTCTGAGCAATACTTTCTGTATGAAAAAAATGAAAGTTTTCTTCATCTTTCACGGTTTTCTGAGGTAATTTTTTTTGCTAGACTGTTAATTCAAAGTACGCAGTTTGTGAAATATTTTATTTATAACAGACAAGTCAAACTAAAAGTTTTTGTTAACGCACCATGAACGGACATTTTATAACGTTAACCTAGATAACGTCGACCATAGATAACCAAGATACTTTTAAAGGCAGTTTCTTCAATAAAAATAATCTAAATCTTAAAGCTACAACAGG